TTTATTAGCTTCTTTTAAATTCAAAAAATATTTAGAAAGGGATATATTATTTTTATAAGTACTATTGGTGAAGGATAAGATATGTTGATACCACCTAGTCTTAAAAGAAAAATTAGTACTACCAATATAAATTTTTTCAACAGTTGGATTCTCTATTGTAGAAATAGTACTTAGATAAACAAGAAATTTAGTTAAACATTTGTTTAGAAATGGGCATACGTTAGAATTCTTACAATTACATTGGTTAATATTATCAACAGTATTTATCTTGGAATGTGCATTATTATCCAAATTTTTAAATTGATTTAAAATTTTATTATTGTGTTTTTTTATAATAATCTCAAGATTATCTGGTGCAGTTATAACTTAGTTTTTTAGTGTTTTGTTAAATATTTTACTAAGAGGTTACTTTTTTTTTGTTTATCAATTAAATGGAGGAACTTCTAGCCTAACTTAGTACTGACCAATTGGTTAAATTGGTGTGTGTACCAAATGATCTTCCTATTCCTATTTCTTTTCTTTTGACCACTATCATCATATTTTATATACTTATTCAAATACTTTAACCACTATTTTTAAAATGGTTATTATAAACACTGCTATATTTATCAAACATCTTTGTCAACTGACTTGTTGCTAATCCTACATTCTATAGACGAAGGTATATGTTTGATTAACAGATGGAGGGTGGTTAGAATTTTTGATTTTAATTTTCTTTTGTTTTAATGTCCTAATATAAGTCAATATATATATATATATATATATATATATATATATAGAAAATATAATATATTTATGAAAGATTATCTTTATAAAACAAATTTAAATGTTTTTTTTCACAATGAAATTTTCTTGAGATGAATCTTCCTCATAGTAATTTGGTAATGGTGAACTTACCTGGAAATGAAAAAATAGAACAAAAAATAAATCAAGATTATATTTCTGCTCAAATACAACTGGTGTCTATAAAACAAATAAGTTTCTGATCAATTAGGGTGGAAAAATAATGGTTAACTCTGGATAGAGGAATGTAGTAAAAGAATAATTAATTTCGGAATAAAAAAAGTTTGTGTTTTTGTGCAATCTGCCGAAGAAAATTACCAAAAAGTAGTTAGCGTAAAAAATCTACATCAATGACTAGAATTTATGCTAATTGTTCTTAATTTCCCTGAATCAATATGACCAATCAGAAAAAATTCTCGGTGAACAGAATTAATTTGTTTTTCAACTTATAAAAGGAGATGATTTTTTTGAGCTTTGAGATCTAACACGCGTTGTTGTTGGATAAAGTGAAGGTTGGATTGAAAACCCATTTTTGTCGTCTCTATGGTGTGTGTTGGCCTGTAACGTTGGACTATCTTGTGTACTGTGATTTGGCTACAAGTGATATTTTTAAAAACAAGAAATCTATTGCTGTTGCTATGATCAGTTGACAGTCTTTTCTTTACTCCATCTGCCTGGCATAGGCTCCTGTAGGTCAAATGGCAGAACAGATTCTTCCCGAGGAAATGGGTTGTGAGTTTGAATGTCACCAACAGTTTCTCCTTTATTTTCAGATATTTTCTGATGTTCAGATAGAGATGATCTTCAATAGAAATGATCAAAAGCAACTAAAATTAAGATTAAAAATATTAAGATTAAATAAATAAAGATTAAAGATCTTTTTCAAAAAATTTCTTTATTAAAGAAAACAAAGATCTTGTTCTTTTAACATTAAATTAAAGATATCGAGACTAAGGCCATTAAGATTAAAGATATAAATTTTTCCAAGGCCATTAATATTTAAGCAAAAAAAAAGGCCATTAAGATTAAAGATATTGAGTCTAAGTCTTTAAGATTAAAGATATCGAATAATTTAAGATAAAAAAGATATGAGGACTACAAACATTAAGATTAATAAATTATGGAGAAATAAGGGCCATTAAGATTAAAGATATCGAGACTAAGGCCATTAAGATTAAAGAATTAAGATCAAAGATATTTAGGCTAAGGGTATTAAACCTAAAGAAATAAAGATTAAAGAAATATCAGCCAGAAATGAATAACAGTTTCATTATTGGTTATTTTTTTAATTTTGTCTTTTTCTTTTCTTTTCCCAGGAACATGATTCTTTCAAAGGTTTCCGATCTCAGAACCTGAACATGAATATCACTTTGGAAACAAAGGCACGTCCTGATAATCCTGGAGACGTCCCAATTTGTCTGTTCTTTGCTAGTACTCTCAGGTTTATGGACAGAATTAAGGTATGTTCCCAACATCATTCTGTGAATCCCCACCTACCAAATTTTGTGATATTCTTACCCCAGGGAAAATAAATTGTGTCTTGACAGTTTTTGAAACAATATTTTTTTTTTTTTTTTTTTTTTTTGGTTCCAATCTGTATTGTGGATGATTGCAAAATACTTCACTCTCTCTAATTTATAAACAGAACCACACATATGCATGCTGAGATCCAGCCAATAAGATAGGCCACTTCTTGGTCTCTTCTGGTTCAGCCCTGGTCTGTCTTGTCTTTATGTCAGAATGCTGCATTTGGTAATCTGAATTCAGTCTTATGTGTCAACCCCAATTCTTAGTTTGTGAACTTTGTGCCATATTACTGTTACTTTGCCTTATTACTGTTAATTTGCCTTATATATATATATTGTTTGCTTGTTTTATATTATTTTTTGCCCTGTTCTTTTCTTTTTATTACTTATTGCAAACTTTGTCAATTCTGTTTATTGGTCACTTCTGTTACATTTATCCATGATCACTTACCCTACAATTTTAGCTTATACCTACACTTCTTTTCTTATTTACATTCAAAATAATATCCTCACTTTGTTATTATAACCATGTTTCAGTTGTTGTGCACTTTGGCCTTCATCAGATATTGTCAGTCTTGGAATTTTAAACTGAACTCTTTCGTTACTGTACAGGAATAGAATTTTTTTCTTTGACAACCTTTTCTAGAGATATCATTTTTAGTTATTTAATACTGCTCAGCTATTGCTTTCTCCATTTTGTTTGAATCTGAAGCAACTCTAGCCTTTTGAATTAATTACGTTCTGCTAGGAATGACTGATAAGAACATCCCCTCCCCAAATTTATGGACAAATGCTGGGATTTCCTCTTAAGCAATAAAAATAGTAAATTCTTGGTCTTATCCACACATTTTTGTTCTTTCTTGTCTTGAATTCAGAATGCTATAACCACTTTTCTGTAACCCCTTTTGCATGTGAACACAATTCTTATGTGAATTTTTTGTTTTATTACTTTTATTTTATTTTTGACTTCCATTTTATTTATATATATATATATATATAATATAATTATTTATTTAAAGGCATGACAAAAATAGTATACATAAGAGGTCTCATGTTTTGAAACATGAGACCTCTTATGTATGTTTGGAATCATATTTTAAATAAATAATTATATTTATGCTCTACTTTTGTATCGAGCACTATTTTTTAAAAATAATAACAAAAATACTAAAGAACTTTGGATTATTTACCTAACCAGTTCTTTCCTATTTTCTATATTTATTTATATATTACACACATATACACATATATATATATATATATATATATATATATATATATATATATATATATATATAAAAATAAATATATATATACTTGTATTAGTTTCAAGACAAACTGTATTATTCTATTAATTATTTATGAAGACATATTTTTTTTTAAAATAATTATAATATTATGCTCTTAAAAAATATTGAGCACTGTTTTTTTAAATAATTTTAAAAGTACTTTATAAATTTTATTAAAAATCTGACTGTTCTTTCCTATTATCATGAGATTATATATATAAAAGATGGAATAAAAAACTGATTCAAGTCATTGTCGTTAATTTGGGCAAAAAAAAACTTTCTTCAATTTTAATGCTTCAAAACTAAACTGCTTTCTATTAATTCCTCTGAGAGAATTTTTGCCTTTGATAGCAAAAACTGACTTAATATATAAAGAAATATTATAAATTTAAATTTGGGCTAATGTTTTCAGACTGACATGAAGTGGAATGACTATAAAAAATCCATTGCTGGTTAAGAAAGCAAATATATACACCCTTTTTATTTCAATTTTTTTTTACTTAATAATTTTATTCTCTCTTAATTTTCATATATTTAAATAAATATATTTATATATACTTAGAATATTGCTGCCATATATAGTATTTTACCTTTGCTTTTACCTTGAGCTCTTTGATATGATCAAAGAAAATTTTCAGATTTTATTGGTCTTGATCTAACAGACCTTTTTACAATCACTTATAAAATAAATCATATAGAAATATTCTCCATTGATATTATTTATAAATAATTTTATGGTAACTGTTCAGAGAAATTCTTCTATTTATATGACTGTATGAATTTAAAACATTCAAGACTTAAAAAAAATCTCATCAATTTACAGTTCAATATTTTAGATGTATGTCTATAAATTTTTTAACAATTTCTTTTCTTGCACTTCTTGCTTGTTGGAACAAACTTGGCGGAATCCATGCATATTTAAAGGCCATCTGAAAAATTTAAAGCAAAGTGTCAGTCGTTATCTAATGAATATTTTTAGATATATTTATAAATATTAATGTTTCTATAAATAAATCTTCCACACCTGTAACTTTATTTTATTTTATTGGCTGTTATATCATTTATTTGAATGATAATGATTAAAAAAAAAATCTATATAAATAAATTTCATCCAAGAAATTCAGATTCATGATCAGGGTGATAATAACAAAATTAAGAACATTAGTAAATAAATAAAAAATATAACTAATCATCCCAGAAATTTAGACAGAAGGTAATCTTTGATGATAATAATAGCAAAGATGAGGACATTAGTCTGAATGTAAATAATGTAAACTCTTCACCCTAAAAATTTAGACAGAAAAGCTTCCTTCCTATGTATTTATGTTATTATATTTTTTTTTTTAATAATTCTCACTTCTTTTAATGTTGGATGTTCATTGGTTGAAAAATTGCTTTATCGATGTCTTCTTCTTATTCATTGGTTATGGTAAATAATGTATAACAATGCTACACATTATTTAAAATTTTTTTTTCCAAAACAAATCAAAATAATTTTCGGCCAATTAAACGAGGGATTCTGTTTCAGTGTCATCAAGGAAGAAACCATTAAAGTCAGGCATTATAAAATACGTGTCTTTATTTTTTTTTTTTCTGCAACATTGTTAATAAAAATGTAAGAAATGTGTTTTGATTGGATCAAAATTGATTTTGGAAGTAAAGTAGCATTTTTGAAGACTGAAAAAAAATTTATTTGTGAAAAAATATAATCTTATTTATTATCAATAACAAATATTGATTATGAATTTTTGAAGTCTTTTATTTTAAAAAAACAATATAGTTTAAAATGGGCTATGAATAATATTCTGATTTAAAACAAAAAACCCATAAGCAAATTTCTGCAAATGAAAATAAAGTATTTGCAAAAACCTACAATCTTTTTAAACCTGATAGTTCTCTTCACACTATTTACATTGTTTGGACTCTTGTCATTTATTTTAAAGGCATTTGATACATCAATTTTTGGCTTTTGTAAATCCTCTGGCCTTCCTTCAGGATTATTCTTTATTTATGGGATGAACTATTGTAATATCATTAAACATTATTTAAATTGTTTGGACTCTTGAAATTTATTTTAAAACCAAACCATATTAGAATTTCATATGTCTGTATATATATATATATATAGGATATGTCTATTTTTCTTTAGGATGAGATTATTGTAACTGATTAAAAATATATTTGGACTCTTGTCCTCATCTAACTTTCTTCATATTCATGACAAAATCAATTTTCATCAGGTTCAGTGGATAAAATCCTTGGATGTAAAAATAAAAACTCGCCCTTCATTTTTTCTATTCAATACCTGGCCACATGAGAATGAATAAAATTTTGGAGGTTTGAGTTACTAAATGGGAATTAACTGAAAACTGAGATATCCATTAGGCATATAAACAAGAATTAGAAATTTCTATATTTATAAGTGGACAATATAAAGGGTTGGGTTCAAAATTCCAATCACCTGAAAAATTTTACAATCTTGGCCAAAATGTTGATAATATGTCAACAAAATGATATGGGGACAATAAAAAAACAATTTAAATTTTTTTTTTGACCTCATCACACGAAGTACAAATAGATTTCCCCCCAATTTAGGAACTTAAAGTGCAAGAATCAAAATCTGCAGGCAAAATAAAATAAAAAAATCTGCAGGAAAAAACAATGTATTTTTGAAAAAATATTAGCAGGACAAATCATATTAGTTTTTCAAATTCTTGGAAATATTTTCAGTGACACCCCTTTCAATTGTAAACTCAATATATGTATAGTATATTCATTACTGATATCCATAGTATATATATATACTTAAAAGCATAGTATTAAAATCTATCATTTTTTGTTGTTTTGATTAATATATCTATCAGCTAGTATATATTTATTTATGCCATATACATATGTTTATAAATACTGATATATTTATGATCATAAGGTTTAATGGTAGTTACTTATAGATTTTTATAACTCAAAATAATCATACCGTCATAAAAATACAATTAAATAAATTCATATATTTATTCCAATATTATACATTGATAAAGGTTTGTCTGTATAAACAGATTCTGATAATTTTGATATTCAATTTGTTGGACATTAAATAATTTATTGCAACAAAATGTTTGACATAATGTTATTTTATACCTAAAGTTAAAATATCTTCAAGTTAAATGTTTTAAAACAATCAAAATAACTATATGGTTGCCCACAGAGATTGTCATCTGATAGACCCCATTTATAACTGAGCCTATTAATCACTAGTTAGGTCCAAATTGATTTATATATGTTTCTGAAAAAATAATGTTGTCAGCCATACATTTCTGGAAAAATAATGTTGACAGCTATTATGTTTCTGGAAAAATAATGTTGCCAGCTATACCATTTCTGGAAAAATAATGTTGCCAGCTATACCATTTAATAAAAATAAATGTTGCCATCTATACCATTTCTGGAAAAAAATATTGAGTTTGATACCATTAATGATCAGTTTTAAAAAATAATTTTTAATGTGTCCTGTTATTGGAAAAAAAATGTTGTTTGGAAATTGATTTTGAAAAAATATAAAATGCCTATAATTTAAAATAATAAATGTGTTTATTTATATATATATATATATATATCTATCATTTATATCAGATATATATATATATATATCTAGCAACATAGTGTGTGCATGAATACAAGTATATTTAAATATTGTATATAGAAAATATTTTAAAATGACCTCTTAAAAGTTTATATGGTAATATATATATATTATATTTGAATATGTTATTAGAGATATATTTTTATATATAGAACTGACAGCATATAATATATGAATATATAAATTTATAGAATGCATATTTAACAATATATATATGTTTACCGTTACATATATATATATATATATGAATGTGTTTTAAAACAGGAAAGTAAATATTTTTCGCAACGGAATGATATTTGTTATATATAACTGGTCTATACCAGTGTATGTGGCAGCCTACTGCTATTTTTCGTGTGTTCCTATTATATATGTATATATTTAGAAAATCATTAATTGTATTTTGTGGCACCCATCTTCAAAAAGAATAAATTCTGCATTTACTAAATCAAAAATAATTTTTGGATATTTAATAAAAAATTTAGAACCTAAACTGTTTTAGTTACATTAACTTATTTAGTTTGTTTTTTTAATTTGCTTTAAAGGATCTTAATAAATCACATATATATTATTTTACTGATTTAGAATAGATTTTTTGGAAAGTTTAATTAAAACGAATTTGAACTCTGACCTAAATTCAAAAAAAAAATATTTTTCTATAAATTAGTTTTTCTTACATTGGAAGTTATAATTTTTTTCAATTTAAATATAACAGTGAATTTCTAAAACATAATAAAAAGAATATTTAACCAAAAAAAAAAAAAAAATAAACATCAAATATTCTTAGCTTTTACATGGAAAAATTATTAATGAATCATGAATAATATTTATTTAAAAATTGAATCTAAAATGAAAAATTCAACTTTTTTATAAAAAACAGTCAACAGTTTTATTAAACTTTACAAAAAACCATTTGTCCACAAAGTGTAGATGATAAACTTCATGATATAAAATGTGCTAGCATGTCCCAAACAAATTTTTATTTTCTTACTTAAACAATTTTGGAATGTTTTAATAAATATCCGACTTGTATTTCTTTAATAAAAAATACGAATAATGTATTTCGGACTATTTTCAAATATAATAGAAACTATTTTTTTTTGAAACATTTAAACAACGTTTCTATTATATACTGTCAATAATTTAAGTTTTTGATGTAATTTTTTTTTTAATTTTAAATGTTTTAGAATATTTTTTTTTCTTACATTCTAATTTTTTTAATTTAAGAAAAAAAAATGAAAATTTAAATTAAATTTTTGTATTTGTTGCAGGCAAGTGAAGTTGTCCATTAACTTCCATCAATTCTCTATTTGTTATTGGATGTCGTTCTTCAAAACAGTTATGCGGTCCGAGACCAAAAGATCTTTCAATCTAGAGTTGTAAACGATACAGACATTGATTCATATTGATGATGGCCTCATCCATCGTCCACAAGCAAGTTGGAGTATTCGTTATCTTACCTGTGAATTATCGACCACTCAAATATGGCTTTGCAGTGTCCCCTCAGCAACTGAGCAGGTAGTTTGATTTGCAGATTATTTTATTTTTTTTCCATTTCTTTCCATAATGAAGTGACCCCTTTAAAAAGGGGGAAAAAAGAAGCTAATACTGGTAGAGGTATTGATAGAGAAATCTGCTTGATAAATAAAGCAAAATATATGGAATTGTAAGGATTGGTGAGGGTGGTGGAAGAATATTTCACCCCAAATTTAATAGTTAAATTTAGTATAAATGGTTAACTTCAGTAACATTGAAATAGAAAAAGATGAGTACTCCATGTTATATGTCAAATATAACTTTTATATGAAAATATAAGACAGTTTTAACAAAAAGTAATCTCAATTAAGTTGCCCATGTTACTAAGTAAGTTATGACACTTTGGAAATAATAAGTAGAGAAATGCTACTAAAGGAAAGAAAAACCCTCTTACTTAAATACCAAAGTATTAAGAAACAGAAAAAATATTGTTACAAACAAAGGAAAGACTACTGAACTGTTACGTAATATCAGAAAAAAAGAAAAGAATGCTGGACAATCTCCTGGAAAAGATGAAGAAAAAGATAAAATTAAAAACAAAAAAAAAAAAGGACTGAACTGTTATGCAATATCAGTCCCTCCTATATGGCAGTGAATGCTGGACAATCTCCTCAAAGATGGAGAAGAAACTTGAAGGAACAGAAATGTTGTTCTACAGAAAGATGCTGAGAATACCACGGACCAAACATGTGAGCAGTGATGAAATTCTAGAGAAAATGTCAGCAAAAATGACACTTATATTTAACATCAGGAAGAGAAAGTTGAAATTTCTAGGGCACATAATGAGGAAAGAGTGTTTGGAAAATTTCATACTCACAAGATAGATTGAAGGTAAGACAGAGGAACGCAATGCATAACCTACCAGGTGAGCTTCAGTGAATGGATGGTGGAGCATGGTTTGGGAGAGATGGCAAAAGGACAAAAATTTATTAAGAGTTCCAAAGGACAGGAAATTGTGCCAGTTGATGGTTGCCAATGTCCTGAATAGATGTGACACACAGAAGAAGCATATGTGATGTTGCCTGACATGTATTTATGATATGTGAATTTTGATTTGAAATTTTCATTCTATAATTCTTCATCTAGAAATTCAAACAAAGTTTTCAGTTTATTTAACAAATCAATAGGCATTTGATGAAGTAATTTACAAAACAGTTTTAAAAAATGAATGGATTTTGTATGATGATAGATATTTCTTTTTTTTCCAAATTCTAAAGATTAGTCTCTTCTGACTTCTTCAATTCAGGGAAGTGTCAGGAAGAGGTAATGAATTTAATTCCATATCCGTTATCTTTGAACTGGAGATTTAATGTTTGCATTTTGATGCCTGATCTTCATTTTTTTTTTCACTGTTAATCAAATATTTTTTCAAAATCTAACTTTTTTTTTTTAAATATTTTTTTTAAATATTTTTTTTATAGTTTTTCTAAATATTTTTTTATATTTTTTTTAACTTTAAATACATACATTTAGAGGTATGAATTAGACTAGATTTATTTGTTATTTTTTATCTTGGGCCTTTTAAAACATACCAAACATACAAAAACAAATAAATCTAGTCAAATTCACACCTCTAAAAGGTGTGAATTAGACTAAATTTATTTGTTATTTTTTATTTTGGTCCTTTTAAAACATACATTTAGAGTTGTGAATTAGAATAAATTTATTTATTTTTTATTTTGGGCCTTTTAAAACATACATTTAGAGGTGTGAATTAGACTAGATTTATTTTTTATTTTTTATTATCAAAGCACCACAGTAAATATGTTTAAGTTTTAAGTCTATAAGTTTTTCATATTTGCCTGAAAAAGAAAAAAATACACAAATAATTAATGAAAGTAAATTAATTTTTTACTGAATAATAAAAGAAATAATTTTATTTAAAAATGAAGTATAAATTAAAATTTTGGAAAAAATCCAAGAGTTCTGATAAGGTTTTAATCTGGCACACTTCTCAAAATCTAAAAAAACAATCACAGTAAAAAATAATCAGACCTTCCTGATGACCCAGAATGTACCTGGCAAGAAATGTTGTCTATAATAAAATCTGTAACAACCAAGATCAGATAGTCTGCATTTTTTTTTTTTTTTTTTTTTTTTTTTTACAGATTTGCCTCAAATACAGAGTATTTATTTATTTTGTTTTTCCATGAATATTTGATATTTTCTGTTTTAAATTCCACAAAATTAACCAAAAATATTTTGGTTGTTTTCAGGCAACATCCAAATCTAGCCCACGTGTATGTTGATTTCTATCTCTCTCTCTCTCTCTCTCCTTGTTACCGTAGCTTCAGTCTGTCCTTTTGTTGTCTCTTGTATTATGTTGCTTTAATTTAATCAGTGTTAGAAAATAAATGTTTCATCTACAAAAATCTTGGAAGGTTGGTCACATGAGCTGGGAAGTAAAAACAAACATTTTGCTTTGAGTTGAGATCAAATTTGACCTCTTTATGCAAGCATAAACCATTGTCTTGAGGATTCAACACTTTCTGTTTTAGTTTTAAATATGGATTTAGATATATTACATCAAGTCATAAAAAAATTTCCTTTTCTGCTTATCAACTTCATTCTTCAAAAACTATAAAATAAAATTACATTTTATTCCATTATATATTCACTATCATTTACAATTGCTTTTTTTGCCACTTATCAGGCAAATTTCAATACATTTTGATTAAAATTCTGTAGGTTTTGATTTGAAAAAGTTTTTGATTTTGAATCTGGTTTTCATGAAAGAAACTTTTCGCTTGCAAAGTGTTTTGCAGTGATCAAAAAAGATAATCATCAGGTGGAATATACCAGACCAAGCGAGTTTCAAAAGTGTTCCTCTATTATTTTTGTTATATGCAGCCTTGCATTGTCCAGGTGAAGAACAACATTTTTCCCATTGATGAAAAGTGCACTGGGCTCTTTTTGACCAATCTTTAAAGGACATGTTGCAGCTGCTGGACATATAAATGTGCATTTAGTGTCTCATTGCATTTTAAAAAATGAATAATATGCTGATGATACCCCCCCCACAAAAAATATATGCACAACATTATCTTTCTTACCTAGAGCTCAGTTTCTTGGGGCTTGAATAGGGAAATTTGTCCTTGTTAATCCACTCGCTTTTGCATTGAACATTGTCGTATGCAACCCATTCAATTATATATTTACCATTTTTTGCAATGGCTTGTCATATCAGACAGCTCTTCAATACCTTTAGAGCAAAATTCTGCAGGTTTTAATATGAAAAATGGGTTTTATTAAAAAAATTTTTTTTTTTTTTTTTTGTCTCATTGAAAGCATTTTGCAGTGATAAAAAGAAGTTAGAATCAGCCAGAACAATGTCAGATGGAATAGTGTGGAATGTCAACATCTTATGTTATTATTTTCCTTTGAGTTACATGTACTATCCATTTTAGTTGTTGCTGCTGTTGGTAGTCCTCAAGTGATGTGGTTTCTATTATTTGATACAGTTCTTTGTAATTCTGTTGCTCCAGTCTACAATGTTCAAAGAAGAATGATCTTTTACAAGACTGTCAGGCTTCACTCACTCAGAGCTTCTTTTTTTAAATCATTGATCATGGGAAGCAGTTGTATATAGCTGACAGTTTAGTAGTTAGGATGTAATTACATATGTTATCACGATTGGTTCCCAAAAGCAGAAATTAATTATAACTCAACCCATTGTTGAAAATATTAGTTTAAAAATTGCAAAAATGTCAACCTGAAAAAAAAAAAAAAACTATCAGCAAACTTGGACCTTTGTAACTACAAAAAAAAAAGAATTTTTCAGAAACCACTGTTGTTGTGAACTACCTTCAGAAACAATGTTTAAATTTTTTTAAAAGGGATGATTAAATTGAATAAACATAAAAAGAAATTGAAAAAATATATTTTTTGAATCTCAAGAATAAAAATAAAAAAACATATTTTATTGTTTATTTAAACTATTTATTAGATTAAAAAATGAAACATATTTATTAGATTGTTTTTTTACATTATTTAAAATTGTTTATTCAACACTATTTATTAGATTGTTTATGATTTATTTAATAAATTGTTTGAGAATTGTTGATTTAACACTATTTATTAGATTGTTTATTTACACTATTTATTAGATTGTTTAAAACACTTTTATTAGATTGTTTATTCAATTATTTATTAGATTGTTTATTTACATTATTTATTAGATCATTTTAACAACACTATTTATTAAATTGTTTATTTACATTATTTATTAGATTGTTTATTCACACTATTTATTAGATTGTTTATTTACATTATTTATTAGATTGTTTAAAAACACTATTTATTAGATTGTTTATTTTATTTATTTATTAGATTGTTTATTTACATTATTTATTAGATTGTTTATTTACATTATTTATTAGATTGTTTATTCACACTATTTATTAGATTGTTTATTTACATTATTTATTAAAATTTTATTATTTATTCATGAATTTATTAGATTGTTTATTTACACTATTTATTAGATTGTTTATTCATTATTTATTAGATTGTTTTATATTTATTAGATTGTTTATTTACACTATTTATTAGATTGTTTATTTACACTATTTATTAGATTGTTTATTAAATTTAAAGGAATTGTTTACCCTTTATTTATTTAATTGTTTATTTTATTTTATTAATTGTTTTTTTTAAATATTTATAAAGATTGTTTATTCACATATTTTAAACATTTTATTTGAAAAATTTATTAGGTTTATTTGCACTAAATTGTTTATTTACACTATTTATATTGTTTATTCTTTTAAAATTAGATTGTTTATTCACTATTTATTAAAATTGTTTTATTTTATTTATTAGATTGTTTACTTACACTATCCATTGTTAGAATTTTCAAAATATTGGCAAATTGCCATTCGATTTTTTTAAATAATATTATTTTTTAAAAGGTTCAATTTTTGAAATTTAAAATGTTTATTTTATTTATGAGAAAAAAAATCATATTTTTTTTATAAATTGGT